ATCAATTAAATCAACATCTTATTTGTGATTTCAAATTTACAAATAGGTTTGAAAATATATTTCTTTCTAATGAAGCAACAGATTATATCAAAATTATAACAAAATTCATATGAATTAAGTCAAATTATGACCAGAAAGAACTCTACCAAGATAGGCCGCCCAAAGGGGCCATAAAGTTACTGTTAAACCAAATATATAATCTAAAAGAGTATTTTTCATTAAACCTTTCATATGGTCTCCGGTTCTCTCCTTTCGGTCGGCAACTGATTTATCGGACGTTGTCTTCAGATCATAGGCCAGACCTATGAGTGCGAAGAAGTCGATGAAAGCTGTGGCCAAATTGTAATTACTTTTCCACCCGTATTCGCTCGCAGAGTAGTCTTCAATGTTTGACATGTCATTAGATTTACTGCCAATTATTCAATTAATAAACAATATATGCCATACCGTAAGGAAACGTGTGGTGATAATTGTGATACCCTTCGCCAAAACTCAGGTACACTACCGATTGATTTTCACGGGAACCGATGTCACGATCATAAGTCTATTGCAAATAATAATTGTTAATATTTTTAAATACACTATATTTTAAATTTTATATAAATAAATAAAAATAAATATTATTTAAAAACTAAACTCTAAATCCAAACATATGTGCGGCTGAGTTGACGAGCCATGTCTGGTGAAGAGACAGTATATATCGAGTCATATTTATTGAAAACGATATTAACAACGTTTCCGACAAGAAATAACAGGGAATAATAGTGGGAATGACGCCCCATATTAGCAGAACCAGTGGTGCGTAATATTTGCGCTGAAATCTGACCACCGGATCGGCCATAAGATCGGACATATCGAGGAGTTTGCCTTTTTGGATGACCTGCGGGTGCTTTTTGGTCATAAGCCATCCCATATGCGAGAAGAAAAAGCCGCGGTTCGAGTTGTGTGGGTCGGCGTCGGTCTCCGAGTACTTATGGTGTACTCTATGGTCGCGACTCCACTCGTATATGTCGTTTTGTAGGGCCAGTGTCTGCAACACCATAAGCAGCGCCCGTAGCGAAGTGTGCGCTTTATAGCACCGGTGACTCCATAGCCGGTGAGCGCCACATAGTATACCAAACGACGAGCCCATCGCCACCGCGAAATACCAAACAACTGTCATATATTTGGCATAAGTGGCGCAATTATACATCCCATAAATGCCCACAATATGTATAAATGATAACTTCAAAACACTGGACCACACAATCCGTGGGCGAAATGTTTGGTCCGTCTGTGAAGACACAGAATGTGCGCTCGTTTTGGTGGTGTCGTCGATATTGCCATTTAGTTTCGTATGTTTGGTAACGCCGTTATTGTTACTCCTGTCCATCATTTGGCTGTCATTCTGCTGGAAGTGCTTATTGAATGACTTATCAGTATTAATGATATGTTGATTGAATGGCGGCATCACTTCCGTCATGGCTTTCATTTAACGAGAAATTGAAGAAAACGTTATATTAAAACCATATTTGCATTTCATATACAGTAATAGCAATTGAATTAAACATTTAATATAAGACTTACATTATGTAACAGTTATGTTGAAATGTTACGGCACAACACATGTCATACAAATCACATTTTGAATCATCATATATAATGCAATTCATATAATAAATAAATTAATTCAACACTATTATTGTAGATTTAATTCAACATTATAATATATTTTATATTATATTTAATTGTACAATATTTTATATGAGAGATATTTGTTGTTTAATTAGCATGTAATTTAAGGATGAGTCATAATATCCCATGAAATCCGATAGAATTCAATGCAAATTCTGTTATTTAGACAAAACTTACTGTAAGTACAAATTAATGCATAATTAGTGTATAGTTTAGAGTGAATTAAATTTATTTTATGGCAAAAGAGTAAACAATAATAAAGAAATGTCTTGTGTTAAGCAAAATATATCGATCGGTAATTTCTATGGAAACGTTACCATTTATTGATCCAATAGTCATGTTATTTACCATAGAAGAGTCAATGCAATCATATTTGAACAGAATATAAGACACTTTTTAATGTTAATTGTAACTATTTTATTTTATAAATTATATTCATTATTGTTTATAAAAATTAATTATTTTTAATACTAAATAAATTTATGTTTAGTTCTATACACTAAAGAACTCAACATAATAATAATCATTTAATAATAATGCTTAAAAATGTGTACGCACGTATAACATAAACTTTGCGCACAATTAAATAATAGTTTATTATTTAAAAATATAAATTACATTTGAATATAAAATTATTTTTATAAAATCATGTCTGACGTGAAAAATATACGATTTTTATGCATAGAAATGATTGTAGCAATGGTTTCACTACCAGTCCTCGTGTTTGGGACATTTATCGGTGTAAAATTGACTGAACCAACGCCTAAACTTCACTAATGGTGTCTCGTGTTTAGCAAAATATGGTTGTTTTAGGAATTTCTTATTGTTCCAGATCACTATATCCCTCTCCACCTAAACAATGACCAAGATCGCATTTAAAACACTAAATTGTACACTAAATGTGTGGTAATTTTCATACCATTCTCGCCTCTCCGTAAATCATAAACTTGGAGAACAGAAATGACTTGAATGTGGGCTCAGTATAGAAGTGATGGACAATCTTATTCTTGAGCGGACCCAACGGTGTGATCGTTTGGATGATATAACCGTTCATTTCGCCCAAGAAGTGAATGGTGAGCTTCAAATGGACGTTCGCCGGCCCTATCTGTAGGACATCCAAACTGAATGGCATCAATGGATAGCCAAAGAGAGAGTAAGTCGACCGCAGGTCCATATGGGCGATGTGTTGGTCGGGCGCCGGACACGGCTGCCAATTGGCCCTCCAGTCGTAGCGCAAGAATTTGGTGACAAAGTTGTAAAACTTTGACCGATTGACAACTGTTCCCAAGAACTCCGGGCCCTCATGTAATTCATTCAAATGCTGGACGTCTGCCCCGTTTTCTGGGATTTCCTGCCATTTATTAATAAAATATATATATATTTTAAAATGTCCTTAAATTCATATACTGTACACAAATAATATTAAACTCAATGACTTTTAAAAGCATAAAATTGTATCTAAAATTTATTTCATTAATATTTAGTTAAAATTCATTCAAAGAAAAAAATAGTAAATAAAATAAATATTGAAAAAGTGTAAATACTTTTAAAAACTAAAATAAGTTTACATTTTTGTTTTTAACGCAAAAAATATAACATTTCTAAATAAAACTATTTAATAGAAAGTGTGAGACAATACCTGGAGATGACATTTGACGATATGCTCGGCTCTTCCCCTATAGACCAGTTTTGATTGACTTATTTCTGGGATCTGAATGGGAAACCAATTGGCTTCCTCTCCCTCCGAGTGGTGCCAAACAAATATAAAACCATTTTCTTCCACACATTCCCACACTTTTATTTGTACTTTTGGTAAATTTGCACCTTTTTACAATCAAAACATATTAAATTAACCAATATACTTTACTATTGTTATACACGTATTCACTTACACTCTAATCCGGGCACTTGAGTGCAGACACCTTTGCTATTGAAGGTCCAGCCGTGAAACGGACAGCGGACTGAGTCGCCAATAATACGGCCACCGATGGCCAGATTGGCGCCCAAATGCGGACAATAGGCGTCCAATACATGCACTTTACCCGTCAGTTCCCTATAGACCACAAGATCCACACCAAACGCGTCGATCGGTTTGATTTGGTTTGGCTTCAGATCTCTGGACTCGAGTACAGAGAACCAGCCGTTGGGATAATGTGGCGGCAAATCCTGGCGATTATATAACCTCTTGAGATCAAAGTGTTTGTCATTCCATTTCGTGATACTTAAGTCCTATGAGTTTGAAAAGAAACATTAAATTATGGTAATTATTGAGTTATATTCAATAAATACCGCAACAATTTCGTTGAATGTGAATAATTTATAGATGAGATGCGAAAAGTATACAAATATTAAAGTGAAGATTAAAATGATTATATTGTTTAAGTTGTATAATGCTGGTGTTTCGTTGAGTAATTGATCGAGGTGGTTTAACACGCTCATTTCTGGCTGGGATAACACAAATACAATAATAATTATGATAAAATTTGTTTGGTGTTGCCAATGGGTAAAGAAAACAATACTATAGATAGCTACTGTCTTTAAAATACTTGTTAGTATATTGTATTACCATATATATTTTTTATTGAATATCAATTTTTTAAACACAGTATAATATTGTCTAAACTAAAATATACTAGGTACTACAGTATCAGACACAGAATATTTATTAAATTAAATTTACCCCAAAAATTCACTGTCTGTAATGCTGTGCCTAAAGTTTTGAAATGAGTGTCAAAAGTATTGATATATTTTGAAGATCAATGTTTTCATTCATTGCCAATGCATTAGCAATTCATTGCATTCTTTACATGAGAAGTGATGTGAATATGATTATGGTTTAAATGTGATCTTGTGACTTTATTTAAGAAATCTTTCTCAACCTTGTATAAGGGCATGAAAATGTACTATCTCCATAATTACAACAAATGTATAAAGTACTTTACTTACATCCAAGTTTGTAGTTAAGTCTGACATTTATTCGCACCGGTTGGAAATTTTTAAATTACATATTTAAAAATAGAATTCAAACTTATAAGTCTGATAACAATAGTTAGCCAGAATTGTAAATTACCATATTAAAGAATGTTTATAATTGTCACCACGCAATTTATCAGGCACATTATAATTATTAGTGTAGAGTTATTCAGAAAATAAACAAATCAAACAAAACGTGTCACTAATGTTGTTTGAAAAACATTGACTGCAAATATGTTTACAGTAATTAAAAGTAATTAAATGACACAAACATTGCTATGAAAGTCAAATGTAGGCTTCAATTATTAGACGCAGAGAATGTGAAACTCGTTGTATTTTGTCATTGATTTTAATGTCGGCAATCAATATATTAATATATTATTCACAGAACCAGAATCCAAGTATCCATTAATAGCGTATTGTTTTAATGAGCGTACAATTTATAATATTCTCGTTGATTATGATAAATTCATTTTCATTGCATTTCTCATATCACAATATAAGCACATAATTGTCAAAATGTATATCCAATTCACATTAAATAGTGTGCAAAGCATTAATTATTGGCAATATTTACGCCACAAAGTATAGGCTTCACTCAATTTCAAACAAAATAACGATGGGATGCGTATCGAAAAATGTCGCCCCAATCTCTCTCTCTCTCTCTCTCTCTCTC